AAATTGGGGAAGAAGGTGAAGTTTCTCCAGATCCTCTTGCCATTCTAGGTAAAGATGATAGTGATACTTCTGCCTCACGGTCTAACAAGTTAGCTACGAAAGCTAGAGATTCACTTCAGAAAAAGAAGAATGGGTCAGGAGGCAAGCATAAGAAAGGCAAGAAGCATCACTCCCCTAGGGGAGGTAGATGGCGCTAGTCATTTTGAGGTTGTGATTCTCTCCTTGACTTTAATTATGTTTTTTGGATGCTGGAACGTCAGGGGGTTAAATGACCCCGTCAAACAATCTGAAGTAAAGATGATGCAAACCCCGTAGCAACATTGACTACGAAACCCACGACGAGATTAACGAACCCAAGAAAACCAAATTAATCCAAAGTTTAGGATTAACCCAAAAGAAAGTCGAACCAAAAAACCCAACAAGAACAACGTTTGAAAGTCCCCTTGATCACGCAATCCAAGAATTAAATTCGGTTGTTTAAACGCCACAACTTAACACTTGATAAGTTCGAAATTGTTCAATGAAGAACAATGAAGAGAAGACAATACGCCTCACTTTAATTCAATATCAATAATGTCAAAGGTTTTTTTACAATTGAATGAAAATTTCTATTTATACTAAACCCTAGAATAGAAGTCAAAAAGAAATATAATTCTAATAATCTAACAAATCCCTAAAATATTCGTCCAATATGGTAGGAGTTTGATTAAGAATGAAATTCTTGTAAAATAAGGAAAAACGCAGAAAAAAGGAAAATAGCGCCCAGAAATCAACCATGCTGTCGCATGGTTATAACTCGTGTGGCCGCATGGTAATAAAATTTCGGCCATTGAATTCTCGACCTCATGTCTTGCGGTCGCACCATGCTGCCGCATGGTTATACGGCCCACTCTCTTCTTCGGCTGCTTGTAACGCATTGATCCATTTAGTTTCGACCTTCGACCCGAACACGAAACTTGTCCCATTTTGAGTCTCGAACATGGTTCCATCAATAGTTTCTTGAACGAGCCCCATCGCTTGTTTTGCTCTCGATCGCGTCATCGGTCCACCTTCGATTATCAATGGGTCTCGTCTCGCACCTGCCTTCTTCTAGCTTGGCTCTTGGATCACATCATCCCCTCCCTCTTCAAAAGGATTCGTCCTCGAATCCGAACCTGCATCAAACAGAGAGAGATCGGATACATTAAAAGTAGCTGAAACATTATACTCACCTGAAAGGTCCAACTTGTAAGCATTGTCGTTTATCTTTTCAATCACTTGAAATGGACCATCGCCCCTCAGTTGCGACTTGGACTTCCTTTGCTCCAAAAACCACTCCTTCCTAAAGTGCACCCAAACCTAATCTCCTGGCTCGAATGTCACGCGCTTCCTACCTTTGTTCGCCTGCGACGCAACCAACTTACCTTTGTTTTCAATTTGCGCTTTTACCTTTTCATAGAGTGATTTAACCAATTCCGCCTTCTTTTTGCCATCTAAACTACTACATTCATTCACTGGTAAAGGAATTAAATCCAAAGGAGTTAGCGGATTAAAATCATATACAATTTCAAATGGAGAATATGACGTAGTAGAGTGAACAGCTCGATTGTATGCAAATTCAACAAATGGTAGACACTCCTCCCAACTCTTCAAATTTTTATTGATTACTGTGCGTAACAATTGTGTCATAGTCCTATTCACTACCTCGGTCTGCCCATCTGTTTGTGGGTGACAAGTTGTAGAAAATAGTAACTTAATGCCTAACTTACCCCACAAAACTCTCCAAAAGTGGCTCAAAAATTTGACATCCCGATCCGATACTATGCTTCTAGGAACCCCATGTAAACGCACAATCTCTTTAAAGAATAAGTCAGCAATGTTCGTGGCATCGTCGGTTTTGTGACATGGTATAAAATGTGCCATTTTGCTGAACCTATCTACAACCACAAAAATAGAATCCCAACCTCTCTTAGTCCTAGGTAAACCCAAAACAAAGTCCATCGAGATATCAACCCAAGGCTCACTAGATGTAGGTAAAGGTGTGTACAAACCTTGTGGTAAAACCTTAGATTTAGCCTTTTTACAACCTATGCATCGACTACAAATTTGCTCAACATCATTTTTCATTTTAAGCCAATAAAAATGCTCCTTCAATACATCTAAAGTCTTTTGCACCCCAAAGTGTCCTATCAATCCACCACTATGTGCCTCCCTTACTAACAACTCCCGAATAGAACAATTAGGAACACGTAACCTATTTTCCCAAAATAAATACCCCTCATGCCTAAAGAACCTATCAACCGCCCCTTTTATTCATGACAAATAAATATCCGAAAATTCAACATCTTTTTCATACAATTCCTTAATATGTTCAAACCCAAGTAACTTAGAATCAAGAGTAGTTAGTAATACGTATCTTCTCGACAACGCATCCGCCGCCACATTTTCCTTACCTTGTTTATACCGAATGACGTATGGAAAGGTCTCAATGAATTCCATCCACCGTGCATGCCTCTTGTTCAATTTACCTTGTCCCCGCAAGTGCTTTAGTGACTCATGATCGGTGTATATTACGAACTCCTTCGGCCATAGATAATGTTGCTAAGTCTCCAAAGCTCGAACAAGTGCATAAAGTTCTTTGTCATATGTAGGATAATTTAAAGCAGCTCCACTCAATTTCTCGCTAAAGTATGCAATAGGCCTTCGATCCTGCATTAAAACTACTCCAATCCCTATTCCTGATGCGTCACACTCAATCTGGAATGTTTTATCAAAGTTAGGTAATGCCAAAACATGCATCTGATCCTACTCTCAAGAAACTAGATATTGTATTGGTGAATTCGAAGTAGGAGGAGGAATTTTCGGGATCGTGAGCTACATTTCGTACTGCTGGTGTGTCGGATCATTCACCTATGGTTGTGAAGGTTGCAGAGTTACCGCGTATGAAGATTCCATTCCGCTTCTTTGATTATTGGATGGATCATTCGGATTTCTTTCCTTTGGTGGCTCAAGTTTGGGGTGAAACAGTATTGGGAACCCCTATGTTTTGTCTGTGTTCGAAGTTGAAGATGTTAAAGCTTGCTTTGAAAAACTTTAGTAAGGAGCATTTTTCAGAACTTCCTACGAGAGTTACTCAAGCTCAGACTGATATAGAGCATGGTCAGTGTTTGATTCAGCAATCGCCTTTGGATTCGTCTCTACATAGGGAGGAGGCTCAGTTACAAAAGGAACTTTGTGAGTTGAGCAGAGCTGAAGAAGGCTTTTTGAGACAAAAAGCTCGTGTTAAGTGGCTGAATTTAGGAGACCAAAACATTGCTTTCTTCTTCAAGGCTATGAAAAGTCACTATGGGAAGAGTAACGTGGTTTTGATTTGTAAAGACGATGGTACTAGATTGGAGGAGCCGCATGAGGTCAGTGAAGTCATTGTTGCGTTCTATCAAAATCTCCTTGGTCAGCAGCCTACTGGTGAGAGTCTAGATATGAACTTGCTCCGTAAAGCTCTTCCTAAAAGTATCTCAGCAGTGCAGAATGAAAATCTTGATAGAGATGTGTCATTTGAGGAAATTAAAGAGGTCTTGTTCTCGTTAAAAGACAATAAGGCTCCAGGGCCTGATGGTTTTAATGCAGGTTTCTTCAAGAGGACTTGGAATATTGTGGGAAATGATGTGCTATGTGCCATTAAGTCCTTCTTTGACTCGGGGAAGCTATTGAAGCAGGTCAATGCTACTACCATCACATTGGTTCCTAAGGTTCCAAATCCTTCTCGGGTGAAAGAATTTAGGCCTATCTCTTGTTGCAATACTATTTATAAATGTATTGCTAAGCTTATTGCCAATAGAGTTAAAATGGTGCTCCCAGACATTGTTGGACCTCAACAAACTGCTTTTGTTAAAGGTAGGCATATTAGTGATAATATCCTTCTTTCTCAAGAGTTGTTGAGGAATTATCACCGCAGGGGAGGATTACCTAGGTGTGCTCTTAAAGTTGATCTCATGAAAGCATATGATTCTGTCCGTTGGGATTTTCTCTATGCAGTTTTAATGGTGCTTGGTTTTCCTGAGAGAGTTGTTAGGTGGATTACTGAGTGTGTCACTACCACTCGATTTTCGATTTCCATTAATGGGGAACTGCATGGATTCTTTGCTGGTGGGCGAGGTCTGAGACAAGGAGATCCTTTGTCACCCTACATGTTTGTCTTGGCTATGGAGGTCTTTTCGGGGCTAATGGGATTGATGGTTGCTGAACAGGACTTTAAATACCACTGGAGATGTGAGAAGGAGAAGATCACCCACTTATGTTTTGCTGATGATCTTATGGTCTTTTGTAGAGCTGAGTTTGGTTCTGTCTCGATCATTGGGGAATGCCTTAATCGATTCAAAGCTCTTTCTGGACTTATTCCTAATCCAGATAAGAGTAATTTATTTGCCAGTGGTGTTTCTACATATCTTAAGGATCAGTTGCGTGATATTTTGGGGTATAAGGAAGGCGTGCTACCGGTAAGTTATCTTGGTGTTCCGCTAATCTCTACCAAATTGAGGGCTTTGGATTGTAAGATGCTGGTGGACCGTATTATAGCTAGGGCTAAGAGTTGGACTTGTCGAGCGCTCTCCTATACAGGGAGGTTACAACTTATTAAGTTAGTGTTACTTTCTATTCAGGTCTACTGGTCCTCTGTATTTCTTTTACCCAAGGCTGTGATCAAGCAAATGGAAAATTCATTGCAGGCCTTCTTGTGGAAGGATAGTGACCTTAGCACCGATGGGGCTAAAGTGGCTTGGGCAAAAATCTGTATGCCTAAGGAGGAGGGTGGTTTAGGTCTGCGGGGCTTGGAGATTTGGAATAAGGCTGCCATGTTAAAGCATCTTTGGTCCCTTTGTTCGGATTCTGCCTCCTCTCTTTGGGTTTCGTAGACACGTTGTTATTTACTTAGAGGACGGAGCATTTGGGAATTGAAGTGTCCTGGGGATTGTTCTTGGAGTTGGAGGAAAATTCTTGGACTCCTGGATATAGGGAGGGACAAAATGAAAATCAGAATTGGGAATGGTAGACGTGCCTCGCTTTGGTATGATAATTGGCATCCTCTTGGCCCTTTAGAAAAGATTCTTAGAGAGAGGATCATTCGTGAATCCAGATTGAGTAGACTAGCTAAAGTGGCTGATATTGTGGAGGGTGATACTTGGAGATGGCCATCAGTTCGCTCCCCAGCTGTGTCTGATTTGATGCGAGATACAATTGATATTTTTCGATCGGACAGTAATAGAGAGGATGTATTGCAATGGGAGGATGATACACATGGAGTCTTCTCTGTTCGGAGTGCTTGGGAGTCTCTTCAACTTCGCTGTCCTAGGGTGACTTGGTATCACATTGTATGGTTCCCTAAATGTATTCCTAGACATGCATTTATCCTTTGGTTAGCAATTCAAGGTAGCATCTATACACAGACAAAGCTTCTTAGCTTTGGTTTGGTACAGTCTATGCGTTGTGTGCTATGTGGATGTTCAGTGGAGGATTTGGATCATCTTTTCTTTGCTTGCCCATTTTCTTAGCGTGTTTGGAATGCTCTGCATGCGAAGTGTAACTTGCCTTGGGTCTAACGGAATTGGCTAGACACTCTTTCTTGGATGGAACAATTTCGAGGGAGGTCAATGTCCTCCATTGTTATTCGGTTAATGTTTGCGGATTCGATTTATGCTATTTGGCATGAACGCAATGCTAGGACCCATGGAGAGGCTCCTAAAAATGAGTCTACTGTTATTCAAGATATTGTTTTTACTATTTGTGCACGAGTGAATTTGTGCAGGAGCTTGGTTCCATCTAATGAAAATAGATGGCTCCAATGCTCTTGGGGGTTTTCTACAGATATTTTTTGTTCTCGTGATTAGAATATGAGCACTTTTCTTGAGTTTTGTTATTGTTGTTAGGAAGGCATTAATTCTTAGCATTGTTTCCTGGGATATGTTCTTGTGATTTGTACTTATTTTTATACTTTGGATATAATATACTTACCTTATCCAAAAAATAATTCAATACTATGAAATTAACGATACATAATGAAGTTTTAATTTTATTTATTTATTTGCGAAAAGTAAAACACATTTATAATAAATTTCTAAAATAATGAAAAATATTAGAAATATAGAAAATAAGCTCATTTATATCTTCCATAACACCACCCAAATTAAAGGGTTAATATTCTCATTTGGATCAACAAAGAAATCGGAAATATTCAAATGAGTCACATCAATGGGACTATCATAATCAACAAAATTTGTTTCCAATTTTTCCTTTCCCTAATTGAATTCTGGTAAAGATCCACAAGGTATTTTGTTGTGCGACAGGTGCTCAATGCTCTTTCATTCCACATCTAAAGTAATTTTTTTCATTCTCCGTTTATTATGTGCTACTTTCGTTTGTTTTGTGCCTTTTGAAATTGTTGCCTTATTGCTGATAGCTTCGTTGATTATTTCGTCCATGGTTTATTTCACATGCGTCCAGCCCAAATCTATATCCACGTTTACGTCCTTGTCTTAATATTGCATTTGTTTCAGGCAATATTGTACCATATGCCTCAGACAATACTACAAAACTAGTTGGACTAATCCATGATTTTTCATTAGCGTTTCGTTATTTATATTCCTATTGCAGGAGCACATTCGAAGCATAAAATGTGGAAAAAGTTTTCTCCAACTATCTTCATTAACAATTTTTCTCCACACAATGTGAATTTTAAACATATTCTGAACAGTTCATAATTGTACTCACTAATAGTTTTAAAGTCTTGTAAAGAAAGGAGCATCCACCCATAGCAAGCTTTGGGGAGAATTACATTCCTCTGATTATCAAATCATTCAGTTAATTTTTTTTAAAGAAGTTGTAAATCTTTCTTAGTGAGATATTCAATTTTTAATCCATCGTGAAGATGAGTGCTTTTGCATGATCTTGTAGAGATTCTTAGTTTCCTTCTTTTATTGTCTCTCTCCAAACCTTTTGAGACAAGATTAATATCAACATCGAATACCCATGATAGATAGTTTTTTTCGGATATGTCAAGTGTAGCAAACTTAAGTTTTATGATGTTTGTCATTTGATTTAACTACACAATAAATAAAATACAATTAGTTTCAAAAAATATGATTAAACATCACATAATAGTTAATTAGGTAGTAAATATCAACATGACATAAGTTATGTATTTTTCTTTAGGGAAAAACACTAACTTAAAATAATATATTTTTCGAAACATGTGTTACTTCGGGAGTACGTTTTATCTTATTATTGCTTTTTCAATACCAATATATCAATATTCTTCTAGAATTTTAAAAGTTATAATTTATACTCTTCATGAGCAACTAATATTCTTCAAGAATATTAATTATAATATTGTGCTGTTTCAAGAGCAACAATAAACTATTTATAATTGATAGATCTATGATTAATATTCCTCTTAAATATTAATTATAATGTTGTGTTATTTTAGGAGTAACAACATGATACACGCTGTAAAGTTTATACACGAATAAAAAATTATTAATGAAGTTAAGGATAAAAAGAGTATTCATGAAAGTGTATATATAAAAGAATCATGATTAAATATCACCATTGGAGTAGAAGATTGTACAGAATTTAAAAGCATGATTAATTAACAAAAATTAAAGTATTATTAATTAAAGCATAATGAAAAGAAAAAAAAAACTGGGTAGAACTAATGATTGAGGCGACGAAATCAAGAGGCTAGGGTAAACGTGTGTATATAATTAAAAGAAATTAAATTAGAAAAAGCAAGATGTTGGGTATACAAGAAACAAATTGTGTCAGATTGGGCGTAATCATTACGGCGGAAGCCTAATGTGTTGGCAGAAACATTATTGTGGCAGAAACATTATTGAATATGCATATGATTCCTGGCAACTAATGAAGTGATTTTGCTACGTGATTTCAACATATGTATATATAAAATTTACATGTTACCAAAATTTGGTACACGTGATAAATATTTATGCTTATATAAAAATTTATACCTTCGCTAAACTTTGAAGAATTAAGCTTTCTTGCGATAACGTGTTATGAAAATAGAGAAAAAGAGAAGATATGATAAAAGTTAATACATTTATGTGTGTTTTATTAATAGCCAAAACCTTATATTTATAGAGAGGAATCAGGGATACAACATTAATAATTTCTAGGCATGTAGGGGTACAGCGTCATTCACTAGTAAGCTTATCATTTCATAGCATTATCCTATTTATAATAGGATTGTCTTACATCCTTCTTATTCTTTCATTTTTTTTAATTGGTTTATTTTTTTGCTTTTCTAATTGGTTTAGAATTTTCTCTTCTAATTACTATGCATCAAAACCTTCATTCTTTCTTGATTTCTCTTCTTTATTGAAAGCTTCTTTTTTCAGCATTTTTTCCCCTCTTGCTTTGGTTTAGGGATGACGTGTAGGTTGGGGTTGGGTATGCTTATGAGCGAGGCTGCTTAGCAACCTGATATTTAAAGTTATCAAAGCAATCTTGTTCTTTCATTAAACTTAAAGAATAGAACTTCAGAATTACATGAAGTCAGCTTGTTTTCCTACTACTTTTCATATTTACATCTATTGTGTTGGGCATTTTGATACCAAACGAACATTGAGGCAATGATGAATATTCGGGCCCAAATTATTCATGAAACTTTTTATAAGTCAATTGATGGAACGCTGTATTGAGTCGAAAATCACACTTGTAGCCCAATTTTCAAAGAAGGACCAAGATCACTCTACTGGCCCGACGCATTACTGAACCTATGATGTGATTTATTTAAATGGGGTCTCCCCTTTGTCTTGAGAGATAACACACTGCATCCTCTCTCTTTTTCCTTTGACATTAGTTGCACCTTTGTCCTTTCAGTTGGGTGTTTTTCTCTGCCTATTTCGGCCTGCACTTACTGCCTTTCATGTATAGCTTATCTTGGTCGACATTGGTTAGTTGTTGTGGTCCATTTTAATGGGTTAGTTTATCCAATTTGGGTGGTGCTACTGTGGGATTTTCGACTCTTGATCCGAGCCCGATCTATCCAACTTCGTGTCAAAATCATTGGAGTATTGATAGGGGAGTACTTGTTTCAGTTTACTTAGATTAATTTCATTATTTACTTGATAGATTAATCATTTGGTGTTTGCTACTATCCATTAGGTGGATTTAACTCTACATAGTGGAAATTACACCACATAACCACTTAAATAATCATTTTCTATGTTTACAGATTAAAAAATTAGTCTAACATTAATGACAAATAATGGCATTTCTCATAAATCTTAAATCACTTAACTCCATAATTTACTTTCTATTTTAAAACCATTGATTAAATGTAGATGAATTCAATTCAAGCCAAAAGATCATCTTTCATTCTGGGTAATTTCTACTTCATTCTGAATCAAGATTCAAGAAGATTAGCGAGAACAATCATGAGCTTTTGGTTTTTCTCCCAAAATTCTACAATGAGATTTCTTTCAAGAAAGACTTAAATTTTCGTTTGGCTTCTTCAATCCAACCTTCAACTATAATTTTCAATCGTGATTCGAAGCCTAAAGATCATTTTTTTCTCCATTTTGCTTAACAATCCCCGAAGATCAGTTGAGATCATTTGTGAATAGGGAAAAAAAAAAAAAAAAAGAGAACCCTTTCTATGAAAAATTGTTCTCGGCTATTTATTTCACATAATATCCTATCCTAAAGCATTTTCATTCAATTTCACAAATAAATACACGACCGCGCTAGACGTATAGAAGGCTGTTTCATAGAAGTCTCACAAAATGACGTGGCATCTGCCTAATAAAAATGAAAATAAAATAACCAAAGGGGAAAAGGAACGAATGCAGAAGACAAGTGTATGTAAATGTAATTCCCAACTTCTCCATTTGGAACACTAAAAATTGCCTCTGTGAAATCCACCTTCAGCCATATGATCGACGAATCACTGTTGTGAAATCCACCTTCAACAGCCTATCTTGCTTCCCCTTTTCCTCAATTCGGAACCTTGGAAACCATTGTTGTGATTCTCCGACCAAGAGAAGAGAATAAAAGAGGAAAAATAATTCTATTTTTACTTGAATAGAATTTACAACGGAGTTTACAAACTAAAAAAAATTCTCAAAAACCTCTTTCTGATCTCTCTTTTTTCTCTCTTCTCTATACTATTTTTCTTCCTCTCAAGAGACATCAAAATTCTCTTTATGTTAGCACATATTTATAGAAAAAATTTTGCTACAAACCGTCATAAACTTCTGGCCAAAAACCTGCTACATATTTCATTGATGAAGAGTCAAAAATGGGTGGCTGCCTTCTTCATGAAGTAATTAAAATTGTGGCTATATTCATGCATCAAGGAAGGTTCTAGTTTTCAACCAATCAAGAATTGCGGCTGGAGAATTTCATTTCAAATTGTCTTCTTGCGTAGGTGTTTCTTCTCCATTAAGCAATTGAAGTTGTGGCTGTTAAAAGATGAAGAGTTTTAATTCAATTTTTCTTCTTCATCCATGCATGTAGATTCTTCTACATTAAGAAA